TTCAGGAGCTTCAACTTGTTTTTCACGATCTTATTGCTGAATGTATGGTCGTAAATGAAACATTTCAAGTGGCTGCTATGATAGAAAAATTGCCTCCTTCGTGGAGAGATTTCAAGAACTATCTTAAGCACAAGCGCAAAGAAATGAAGCTGGAAGATCTTGTGATACGTCTAAAGATCGAGGAAGACAACAAAACAGCCGAGAAAAAGTCTCGTGGAAATTCAACGATCATGGGAGCTAATATCGCTAAGGAGACTGCTCCAAAAAATAAGAAGAGGAAGAGGTCTTCTGGACAAACTAAGGAGCAGAACAAAAAGAAATTCAAGGGCAGCTGTTACAATTGTGGAAAAGTTGGTCACAAGAACCCTGATTGTCGTCTCCCGAAAAAGGATAATAAGAAAGGACAAGCCAACATAGTGGAGAAGAATAATGACATTGATGATCTTTGCGCAATGCTTTCGGAATGCAACCTAGTTGGAAATCTGAAGGAGTGGTGGATTGACTCCGGAGCCACTCGACATGTTTGTGCTGTCAAAGAAGCATTTGCGACTTACTCTACTGCTCGTCCCGAAGAAGAAATTTCCATGGGAAATAATGTAACAGCCAAGATTGAAGGTTATGGGAAGATATTCCTGAAGATGACTTCCGGCAAGGTGTTAACGCTCAACAACGTTCTTCATGTTCCTACTATTAGGAAGAATTTAGTTTCTACTTCTTTACTTGTAAAGAATGGATTCAAATGTGTATTTGTTTCTGATAAAGTTGTTGTAAGCAAGAACGAAATGTATGTTGGAAAAGGCTACGTCACGGAGGGCCTTTTCAAACTCAATGTAATGGTTGTTGACAGTATGAATAAAATTTCAGCTTCTTCTTATTTATTGGAGTCAAATGATTTATGGCATATTCGTTTAGGACATGTCAATTATAAAACTTTGCGGAAGTTAATTAATTTAAAAGTATTGCCTAAATTCGAGTGTAATAAATCGAAATGTCAAATATGTATTGAATCCAAGTTCGTAGAACATCCTTATAAGTCTGTTGAAAGGAATTCAAATCTTTTAGACTTAATTCATACTGACATTTGCGATATGAAGTCGACACCATCTAGAGGTGGAAAAAAGTATTTTATTACTTTTATTGACGATTGCACTAGATATTGCTATGTTTATTTGCTTAATAGTAAGGATGAAGCAATTGAAGCATTTAAGCAATACAAGAATGAGGTAGAAAATCAATTGAATAAAAAGATCAAAATGATTAGAAGTGATAGAGGTGGAGAATATGAATCTCCGTTTGTAGCAATATGTTCGGAATATGGAATTATCCATCAAACTACTGCACTTTACACACCTCAATCCAACGGAATTGCGGAAAGAAAAAATCGGACATTAAAAGAAATGATGAATTCTTTATTAATAAGTTTCGGATTACCGCAGAGTTTGTGGGGGGAAGCTATCCTTACATCTAACCGAATACTCAATAGAGTACCCCACAACAAAACGCAATCTATTCCATATGAAAAATGGAAAGGAAGAAAACCCAACTTGAAATATTAGTGTGGGGGTGTCTAGCAAAGGTACAAGTTCCTTTACCTAAAAGGGTTAAAATTGGACAAAAAATAGTAGATTGTGTTTTCATTGGATATGCTACAAATAGTAAAGCATGTCGATTTTTGGTTCATAAATCTGATAATCCCGAGATTCATGTTAATACGGTAATGGAATCAGATAATGCTGAATTCTTTGAAAGCATCTATCCGTATAAAACTAAAAGCGAGTCGTTAAGTGAAAGACCTAAACGACCTCGGGAAGAACCAAAGGAAAAAACTCCAAGTATAGAAGATCCAAGGCGTAGCAAATGTCAAAGAACATCTACTTCCTTTGGACCAGATTTTGTGACATTCTTGCTTGAAAATGAGCCTCAAACTTTTAAAGCAGCTATGTCGTCTTCTGATTCAGCATTTTGGAAAGAGGCAGTCAATAGTGAGATTCAATCAATTTTGGATAACCATACATGGGAATTGGTTGATCTTCCTCCAGGAAATAAGCCTTTAGGTTCGAAATGGATCTTTAAACGGAAAATTAAAGCTGATGGCACTATTGACAAATATAAGGCAAGACTTGTTGTCAAAGGTTATAGACAAAAGGAAGGCCTTGATTACTTTGACACTTACTCGCCAGTAACTAGGATAACATCTATTAGGGTGTTAGTGGCACTAGCGGCCGTGTATGGTCTTGAAATCCATCAAATGGATGTTAAAACAACTTTCCTAAATGGAGAATTGGAGGAAGAGATTTACATGGAACAACCTGAGGGTTTTGTGGTTCCTGGTAAAGAAAAGAAAGTGTGCAAACTTGTTAAGTCGCTTTATGGACTTAAACAAGCACCCAAACAATGGCATGCAAAATTTGACCAAACAATGTTAGCAAATGGATTTAAAATCAACGAGTGTGATAAATGTGTTTACATTAAAAATACTCCATGTCATGAAGTCATTGTTTGTTTATATGTTGATGACATGTTGATAATAAGCAAAAGTATGGCAGATATAAATGCTACAAAGCGCATGTTGGCTAGCAAATTCGACATGAAAGACTTAGGAGTTGCTGATGTGATCTTAGGAATCAGAATTCGCAAGACTTCACAAGGTCTAGCATTATCACGGTCTCACTACATTGAAAAGGTACTTGACAAGTTCAAGTATTTGGATTTCAAAATTGCCAAGACTCCAATTGACGTGAGTTATGCACTTCAAAAGAATGAAGGTGAAAGTGACTCACAACTGGACTATGCAAGAGTATTGGGAAGTTTGATGTATATCATGAATTGTAAGCGACCAGATATAGCATGTGCTATTAGCAAACTGAGTCGGTTTACAAGTAATCCCAATCAAATACATTGGATGGCAATGAAACGAGATTTGGGATATCTGAAACATACCCAAAATTATGCTTTGCATTATAACAAATATCCTTTCGTGATCGAGGGATATAGTGATGCAAATTGGATCACCGGATCATCTGAAGTTAAATCCACGAGTGGATATGTTTTCACAATTGGGGGTGGAGCAGTATCTTGGAAATCATCCAAACAAACTTGCATCGCCCGTTCTACAATGGAATCTGAATTCATAGCTTTAGATAAGGCCGGTGAGGAAGCTGAATGGCTCCGAAATTTCTTGGAAGATATTCCATTTTGGCACAAACCTTTGGCACCTATATGTATACATTGTGATAGTCAAGCGGCAATAGGTAGGGCAGGGAGCGTTATGTATAACGGAAAATCTCGTCATATCCGACGGAGACACATACCGTTAGACAACTACTCTCTAGTGGTGTTATCATAATTGACTACGTAAAGTCAAGAGATAACGTGTCGGATCCACTTACAAAAGGCCTATCTAGAGAGGCAGTTGAAAGATCATCAAAGGGAATGGGGTTAAAGGCCTAGGACAAGTCATCATGGCGGTAACTCTACCTAGCAGACTGGAGATCCCAAGAGCTAGGTTCAAAGAGATCAAACAAAGTTATGAATGACGGTTCAACATTGTCAACTAACTCAACCCATTCTCGTGATGAAGACAATGTTCAAAAACGAGGTAAAGCATTAAGGCTTTTTGATGAGTCAATAAAGCTTAAAGCTTTTTAATGATTTGCTAAGTCTGGCAGGATATGACCAGATAGTGTGTCTTTAGGATTACACGTTTAGAAATCACCTATGTGAGTGTGAAGTGTAAGCCGCTTCAAGGAGAATGAAAGTAAAGGCCCATTCTCTAAGCACTCATGAAACCAGGCGGTGTTCATGGCTGAAACGAACACAACCGTGAGAACCATAGACGGTTAAGGATTGATTGTGTGACTTATGTTGTCTAGGTATACAACAAAGCTCGACGGTTCAAAGATATCAAATCTACCGATTGATTGAGTATATCCGATATAAGTTCACTATGGAAAGTTCAAAGGGAAACCTACTTCTCCAGATGCAATCAATTCTTGTTTGTAAAACACACACACGTCCGTGCATTCCTTTAAGTTTATAGCCATTCCCCATTCATGTGGGGGATTGTTGCGTTTGTTATTTAATAAATAATAACAAAAGAGGTGTGAATGGAAAATGGTGGGAAAAGAAATGGAGGGATGACCCGCGATCCGGTCAGGTCTAGCCCGTTTTTCTTTCCCGGATTAATTTAAATTCGTTTTAAATTTCCCGCAAAAATTTCCAACAGCCATGGCTGTTCTGAAACAGTGTCACACCTATTCCAACAGCCATGACTATTCTGAAAAGTTGCAAACCTCTTCAGAGGGTCACACCCGTTCCAACAGCCATGACTGTTCTGAAAGGTTGCAAACCTCTTCAGAGGGTCACACCTGTTCCAACAGTCATGACTATTCTGAAAGGTTGCAAACCTCTTCAGAAACATCACCAAGTTGGCTATAATAGACCTTCAAATCCCAGAATATTTACTTACGAAATTTTCTGATTATCTTCTTCTTCTTTTGCACTAAAATTCCAGTGTGTTTTGCTGCCATCGAGTGGTTCGCTGATCATCGGCATTTTTGGTACCAACACTCCGGTGAGTTAAACCGTTCTATCCTGGGAGGATATTCCATAACCTCGGGTACTTGAGGGAAATAATTTCCTTAAGGACACACTGTGTATTCAGTGGGCTCGATTTGTTCCTTCAACGTTTCAAAAATTATTTTGAAGTTCGAATATTATTTTTCAGAATTATTTCTACTAACTTTCTGTTTTATTTTTTCAGAAAGATTACTGTTTTATTTACTTAACAAAAAAATATAGTAAAAGTAAAAGTAAAATGAACAAGGGTGTACGAACACAGCTATAGGCTGCTGTACAAAAAGCTACAGGAGTTGTATTTTCAAGGTTTACGAGTTCTTTCTCATATTTTCTTGACACGTGTGCAGTATTTGTATCCATGTGGACATTTGTCTTCCACTTCCACTTCCACTTCATTTTTTGTACTCCTCCTCAAATTTACATTGTCTTGCATTGTTCCGGCCTCCGTTTACGGTGCTGCCAAATTTTGGGTTTCTCTTCCATTTCTCAATTCAATTGCTTTGCTGGTAAGTATCATAGTCTTCTAAAGGTAGCTTTTGTGACCATATTCTTTATTTGTGTGTTTGTTTTACTTTTCCTATCTTTCTCTTATATATTCCGAAGAATCCCACCTTCTATTTACACAGGTTTAGCCATTGTTGCGTCAGTGACAGAGTTGTGGTCTCACTGTATGGAGACATGAGAAGGGCTCAGTTTCAATTTCTTTAGGGATATAGTTCAATTCATCTTCCATTAATGTACGTTCTTTTACTACCGACTCCCAAAGAAGGTACCAAATTTGCTTAGGGCTATTCAAGAAATTCCTGTGGCTTTGGCTCTTCTCATGCATTTGAAGAAGATGGAAAAGACAAAAAGTAAGTTTCCATTTTGAATAACTATTCTACTCTTCTAGCGGAACTCTCTGTATTTACCATTAGAAGCAAAATATAGTAGTAATGTAAAGGAATTAAGATAATTATTTTTTCATTCCATTCCTTTTTTCCATAGGTGTTTTATAACTTAAAAGATCTATCATCCATCAATCCAAAGGTCCATTCGTGTCATTTGCTTGGTTTTTCTCTATTGTACTTCTTTCTTTCATTTTATTTTTCTCTGATGTCTCCTCATCTCTACCCTGTAAAATGGTAAGGTTCCTCGTCAGAAGCCCGTTTTAAATATGTAAAGATGAATGGCTGAATTCGACAACCTCATGGGCTTCAAAGAGGATCTATTATGTGGAATAATTTAAACATAGAAATTTAGCCAATTTATTTTTTGGGCTTTATAACAAATATAACTGAAAAAGCTCAAGAATGACCTTATTTGCTATGCATATACAGACGTCTCTTTCGGCTCATATGAGGTGTTATTGAAGATAAAACATAGAGAGCAATATTACAAATGGTATGCTGCAAGAGGATAAAAATTAATTGCACCAGATACCACCTTAAATAATGTTATGTGCTCTAGAGCCTCCTGAGGAACTATTTAGTAAAAAATTAATTTATTTTGAAGCATTATGCTCAACTTTGAAGTCTTATTTAGTATTTTGTTTATTTGATTTGTTATTATCTTTCAAATCCATCTTTTCTTCTCTTGAATTTTCTGAGCATCTGTTTTGTAATTTTGCAGAAATCCTGCAGCTCATAGAATACTGTGAAACTCCTTTCATTCATCTTCTAGGGCAGTTACATTTTTTATTTTTCGGTTTTTAAAAATCTCGTTTTGCTAGGCAATTTATTTCCCAACTGGTTATGGAAACTTCTACACCAGAAAAAAGTTTGAGCCTGAATACCATTGTGATGCTTCTAAGTAATGCCTTTTGGCTACATCCAACTAAGCTATGGTTTGAAGCTATTAACATACTCAGGGCTTAGGTAGTTTTAATGGAAATAACTTATGATCTTCTTTTGCTTGTATTTGACATATATTACTATTCTCCCAGCGATGCCTTTTATCTTGCATGTTGCTAATTTTTTTAATTCCTAGCTATTGACACCAGGTAACCAAAATATGGCTATGTTAGACACAAAAAAGAGGTTAGTATAATTTATACTTCTAGCACTTCAAGATTCTTTATAATGTAGTTTGATAAAATTAATTATTGTATCTGCACAAGATTCTATTATTATTCCTTTTAACTATACTGTTTTGTAGACCAAATTCTATTTGTCAGAATTTTCGGCATTACACTCATAGTCTCTTGCATCATTTTTCTTACTGGCACATAGGCAGTTTCTTTGAAACAGAAACTTTTGAAATATTTGGCGTCTCTAATTCACAACTCAACAGCTTAACTTGTTCGTACTTCATTCTTTTTACCAATATTCAGTGTACAAATCTAAGTTTGTTCTGTCTGCAAGGGTGTGTTGAATCTTATTATCCAACAATATAGAGATATTTCAGTTCCTTGATACTGTTGCCGTAGCTGCGTTAAACTTCAAAATGTTTCAACAAACTTGACTATGCAAAAGTACATAAATCTCCTTCTACTTTGTTCTCAGTATCCTAATAACTGATGAAACTTGTAAAACGGCATAAAACGGTAATATTAGCATTTCTTGGTGCAATAGAAATTTATGTTCTGTTGGCCATTTTCGTCTTTAAATTAACTTGTCTCTACAGATATTGTTTCTTTTTATCCATTGTCTTAGCTTGATCTCAAAGTAAAAGCTCTTGGCAGGTGGATCATTATGGTTTAGATTCTTGGTTACTCGTGAACAAAAGAGTTTTTATGCTATTGATTGGGATATTTTCTTAACTTAACAATTAATGGAACTAGAAGCATCTCGCTTGGATTAGCAATAACATAAGGCCTTCATGTTTTTGTCTTTCGTCATTAAAAAATGTCTGCTAACTTCGTGGTATAACAATATAAATCTTTTTTTGATGCTGGGACGCAAGGTATTTATATATTCTAAAACTAAACTGATTTTTCCTATTGATAACCATATCTGGAACTTACTCTTGGATTTGTAGGTGATTTTTCACTTTAATTTGTTGTTCAGTAAATTCATTTTATGTTTAGTTTGATTAATAGTTCATGCCTTTAAACCTCTTTGGAGATGACAACGCCTTATGCTCTTAAGTTCTAATATTTGATGTAATATCATCTTTAGGTCTTGCCAATGGAGCAAGAAGTACAATGAAGCTACACATATGCCCAATGGAAAAGATATGCATTTGTTGTTATAAATTTATACAAAAGATGTTCTTAATTATTTTACATATGAATCTCCAAAAATAAGTTAGAATTGAATCCTTAACATCAGGTGTTAACTTCTATATTATGGTCACGTAAGTGCCTCAACTGCAAGGCAAGAGTAATCCGAAATTCATGTTCATTTAGATTTGAGAAAATAATATTCTGATGAGGTTCTTAGTGGAAACATAATTCAGTTTTACTCTGCTGTTATGAAATGTCATGTTTGAAACTTGCAGTAGACGTTCAACACTAAATTATTCAGAATATATTCCCCCCCCCCCTAAATATTTATCCCCAGGAAGCACAAGGTAGTGCATCAGTACAAAGAATTGGATGAAGACTTGGACAGGCAGACAGCCAGACCATTTGATAGTATTTTGTTGAAATAAAATGACAGATAAACTACATACTTTTGTGTAGAAAAATGCGTTCTTTTCTCTTTCCAATAATTGCTGGCCCATGGTTAGCACGGGCCTGGTTCATCTAGTATATATATTATTTTGGGGATTTTTTCTTTCCTATATCATATATGAAATTTTATTACCAAATATGTATATATTTTGTAATCTACCCGACCTGTGCACTGTTTTTCTACAATTTTTATACGATTCATTAATTAGTAATTAATAGTAGCTGAATCTTCCTAATATGGCGCGCTAAAAATCAGGAAAAGAATATCCTAACTGATTTAGCGACCTTCAGTTCAAATTTGAACGCAAATCCTTTATCTGATCTCTCCCGAATTCTTTTCGTAATTCAAAAAAAAATAAATACGAAAAGCTTCAACAAACTGAATCAAATTGTAGAAATCAGTTCGTCGAGTTTCTTCCTCAATCCAGACATCAAAAAGGCGATCAGTTATTCAACAAAATCAAGTCAAATTGTAGAAGCCAATACTGCCGATATTCTGTTCTTCATCTTTTTTTTTCTCAATCCACAAATCAAAAAAATAATAAAATATAGAACAATAACTCAGCAACAACACTCAATCATGTCCAAAATTTCAATCATGCTACAATTGAATGGGAAAAATCTGATTATAAAAAATGGGTCTCATCTCTGTATTTTTTGAGAAGAAGAAGGAATGGAGAAGAGGAAGAAAGGGGAGCGGGGAAACGGCGCTGGTCTTAGGAATTAGGGGGAGCTGATTAAAATTGTTATGTTACAAATTCTATGAAAGTCTGATTTTATGTTAATATCTACAAAATTCCTACACTTATCTAAAAATAAACTACAAATCAGTTTAAGTATGTATAAATCAGTATTGTTTTTAGGGGTATCTACAAATTACTACATTTATACTACAATTAAACTACAATCTATGTTGGAAAAAAATGTTGACTACAAAATTTTTTCTTCATCTACAAAATTTCTACAAAAAAATTACAAATAAACTACAAATCAGTTTTAGTATTGTATAAAGTTGTACTGTTTTTAAGGGTATCTACAAAATTACTACATTTATACTACAATTAAACTACAATCTATATTGACTACAAAATTTTCTCTTCATCTACAAAATTTCTTCAAAAAAATTACAAATAAACTACAAATCAGTTTAAGTATTGTATAAAGCTGTATTGTTTTTAAGAGTATCTATAAAATTACTATATTTATACTACAATTAAACTACAATTTATGTTGAAAAAAAATGTTGACTACAAAATTTTCTCTTCACCTACAAAATTTCTACAAAAAAAAAACTACAAATCAATTTAAGGTTTCAGGGTGAAGCTTACTCTTTAAAAGTTGAATCTTTGAATCAAAGTCAGAAGAAGGGTTAGGGTATTGATTGGTTTCAGGGGTGATTTGAAAGTAATATTGTATAGAATTTTGAGATGGACATCAACATTTGACACGCCTGAGGCTGGGCTTATGCTTCTCTTCTCCAACGGAAAAAAATTGAGAGCCCAAGATTGCTTTTGCTTACATACCAAAAAGGTAGTAGCTCTATGTCGTAAAAGCATAAGAATATGATTTTGAATCCGAAAAGAAATAGGAAAGCGTGGGCCCTACTATTTCGTACGTAACAAAATTGCAATTTCCATCTCTGTATTTTTTGAGAAGAAGAAAGAATGGAGAAGAGGAAGAAATGGGAGGGGGAAAACGGCGCAGGTCTTAGGAATTAGGGGGATAGAGAAACGTGGGATATATGGACACCTTTAATTAAGGAGTAAAAACTGCCCATTAATTATACCCTTAATTAAGTATGGTATAGGATTGGTAATTTGGTATACTAAGTGTAATTAAATCAAACATTAAACATTGAGGGTAATAAGGTTTCCTATGTGGCATAAGAATGTAAAAATTGGGGTTAAATATCAATGAAGAAGAAATAAAAGGTGGCCAATATTTCATCAACTTACTTTTTCTTTGTGTTTGTGCGTTGTTATTTCCTCATATTCTATTATTGGTAGCACTAAATTCATAGGCAACACATTTTGGTAGTTTCTTAGCGCGTATATTTAAGAAACAATCCTAATTTATTTAAACCTCGTCAAGTTGTGAACAATCAAAGAATTTGCATTTTTCTTCGTTGATAGTTCATTTGTTAATATTATTAAATAAGATGAGATGTTTTCTTTTAACATAAGAAAAAATATGTGTTACTTTAGAAGTGGACCAGGAAATATAGAAATAAATATTTCTAAAGGAGATACCAATTCTCTGCTCTCTTTTTCTTTATAGATTTTTTGTGAGCGCTACTGTGTTAAAACACAAAATCAGAAAACTATTAGAAGAATAAAAGAAACTGGAAAAACAGTAAAGATTCAGAAATATTCCGAGTCCACAATTTGCTTGTGCGTCCTTAAGGAATTTTAACCCCCTCACACGTTGCTAAGGTAATGGATTAAATCCTCCCAGGATAAAACGGAATAAACCTTTCTGCAATAGTGGCAATACAAACTGCAGGATACCAACGAACTTAAAGAGCGGAGCAAAATCACACTTACGAATTCGAGAGAGAGAGACTGCGAATTAGAATGCAGTATTTTCAGAAAGAAGGAAGTTCTGTAATGTTTTTGGTGTGTTAAAAACGAAGCCATGCCTCAGAATTTATAGGCAATTATTGGAAGTGGTGTGATGTCTGTTCTGGAAAAGGTGTCTGTTCAGAAATTTCGCGTCCTGCCGCGGTCCTACCGCGGTTACGCCAGGACCGCGGCCATAAAGGCTCTCTGAATCTGCAGCAGAGTTTTGGCGCGGTCCTACCGCGGTTACGCCAGGACCGCGGCCAGAGCTATATTTCTGAATCTTCAGCAGTGATCTGACATTTAATTAATTAAATAAATTTTGTCCAAAAAATAATCTTATCGATCATTTGATAAATTCAAATCCAAAGCCGAAGCCGAGCCGAGCGAGCGACGACGACGGCGCGAGGGTTCATTCTCTTCAACTCCTTTTAAGAGCTTTAAGAAGTGATTCTATATATAAGCACACAAATATAGTTGTCCCTCACCAATGAGGGACAAAGTGCAAGTCAAAAGTTCACTTCATTCAAATTTTCATTCAAATTTTCATTTCCCTCCATTTTATTTTCCACCATTTCCAATTCACACTTTTAAACTTTAAAGCCCAATGCCTTTAAAGTCCAACAATCCCCCACATGAATGGGAATGGCTGTAACAAGAATGATCATAGATGAAAGCTGTGTGATTTGCAAGTAAGGATTAATCGCATCTGGATAAGTAGGTTTCCCTTTGAACTTTCCGTAGTGAACATATGTCGGATATACTCGGTCAATCGGTAGATTTGATATCTTTGAACCGTCGAACTTTAGTGTATACCTAGACAACCATATGTCACACAACCAACCCTTAACAGTCTTTTAGTTCTTATTGTTGTGTTCGTTTCAGCCATGAACACCGCCTGGTTTCATAAGTGCGTAGAGAATTGGCCTTACAGAATTCTCATTGAAGCGACTTCCACTTCACACTTACATAGGTGATTCCTAAACGTGTAATCCTCTAGATTGACACTATTTGATAAATACCATATCAAACTTAGGTAATCATTAAAGAACGTGTAAAGTTCTATCCTTGTTACTGAACATTGTCTTCATCACGAGAATGGACCAAAGACTTTACTTTGACAATGTTGAACCGGTCAATCACAACTTTGTTTGAGCTCCAAAATTCTAGGTAGAGTTACCACCATGTTGACTTGTCCTCGGCCATAGTCCCATTCCCTTAGATGATTTCTCAACTCCCTCTCTAGTTAAGCCTTTTATAAGCGGATCCGCCACATTGTCCTTTGATCTTACATAATCAATAGTGATAATTCCACTAGAAAGTAGTTGTCTAACGGTGTTATGTCTTCGTCGTATATGACGAGACTTTCCGTTATACATAACGCTCCCTGCCCGTCCTATTGCAGCCTCACTATCGCAATGTATGCAAATAGGAGCCAAAGGTTTTGGCCAGAACGGAATGTCTTCTAAGAAATTTCGAAGCCATTCAGCTTCTTCACCGGCTTTATCCAAAGCTATAAACTCTGATTCCATTGTAGAGCGAGCGATGCATGTTTGTTTGGAAGACTTCCAAGATACTGCTCCTCCACCAATAGTAAAAACATATCCACTTGTAGACTTTGTTTCTGTTGAGCCGGTTATCCAATTTGCATCACTATATCCTTCGATTACCGCAGGATATTTATTGTAGTGCAAAGCGTAGTCTTGGGTATATTCCAAATATCCCAGAACTCGTTTCATTGCCACCCAGTGATGTTTGTTGGGATTACTTGTGAATCGACTAAGTTTACTTATTGCACAAGCTATATCAGGTCGTGTACAGTTCATGATGTACATTAAGCTTCCCAACACACGAGCATACTCCAATTGAGACGTACTTTCACCTTTATTCTTTATAAGATGATGATTTAAGTCAATTGGAGTTCTTGCACTTCTAAATTCCAAGTGTTTGAATTTTTCAAGTACCATTTTCACGTAATGTGATTGAGACAAAGCTAGACCCTGAGGAGTCCTCTGGATTTTAATTCCTAGAATTACATCGGCAACTCCTAAGTCTTTCATATCAAACTTACTAGCAAGCATACGCTTAGTAGCTTGAATGTCGGCAATGTCTTTGCTCATTATTAGCATATCATCAACATATAAGCAAACAATGACTATATGATTTGGAACGTTCTTAATGTAAACACATTTATCACA